AAACTGGAATTTGGTTCCACAAGAGAGGAGCCTGATAACTGAGAGCTCTGTCTCCCATTCTGGAAACTATAGGAACCACAAGTAAACCTGCTGTCTGAGAGCAAAGTGCTCTGTTAGGAAAGTATGAACAATAAGATCTGTAATATAAGATGGGGCTGGGTTGTGGAGAGCTTTGTGTATTAGAAGTAAGATTTTGAATTATATTCTGGATTTGCAGGGAGCCAGTGGAGAGAAGCTAAAACTGGAGAAATATGATCTCTCCTATCAACTCTCCTTAAAACTCTGGCAGCAGCATTTTGGATCAACTGAAAACTTTTTTAATTTTTTGACACCCAGATAATAAACAATTGCAATAGTCCAGCCTAGATGTGAAAAATGCATGGACCAGTTTTTCTGCATTCTTTTTGGACAAAATGTTTCTAATCTTAGTGATATTACGCGGGTGGAGGAAAGCGGTTTTGGTAACATTTTTGATATGGAGGTTAAAAGAAATGTCCTGATAGAAAAATAACACCAAGATTTTATTTTATTTTTTACATTAGAACTGGAGTCCAAATTAATGCCATCCAGAGGAAGTGAAAGTCTGCAAATTTATTCCTAAGATGCTCAGGTCCATAATCCACAACCTCTATCTTGTCTGAGTTTAAAAGCAGAAAATTAAGGGTCATCCCAGCTTTTATGTCTTTTAAACATGCTTGTAATCTAAGTAACTGATTGGATTAATTGCGTTTCATTGATGAATATAACTGTGTATCATCAGCATAACAATGAAAATTTATCCCATGCTGTTTAATAACTTTACCTAATGGAAGCATAGATAAAGTAAAGGGTATTGGTCCAAGCATTGGTGAACCCTGAGGAACTCCATGACTAACTTTGGTGTATAAAGAAGATTCTGATGAGGTCCTTTCGATGAAGGACGCAAGGTCTCAAAAAAAAAAAAAAAAACCTGACCAGATGACCTGACTGAACTTCGTTGGAAGAAGATTCATTATTTACATTTACAAACTGGAATCTATCAAATAAATGTGATTTAAAACATTTTTAAGCCATTCCTGTAAACCCAATATCATATTCAAGTCTCTGTAGTAGAATATTATGATCAACTGTGACAAATGCAGCACTGAGGTCTAACAGGACACAAGTCCATTGTCTGAGGCCATGAGAATATCATTAGAAACTTTCACCAGGGATGTTTCTGTGCCATGATGAGCTCTAAACCATGAAAGAAACTCTTCAAACAGATTCATTCATTCATTCATGTTAATTAGATATAGGTCTATAACTGGCCAGAATTCCTGAATCAGTTAGATCAGTTTTCTTAAGTAAAGGTTTAATTACAGCACCATAAAGTGCTGTGATACATAACCATTCATTAAAGACAAATTAAGCAGATCCATTATGGGGATATTAATTAAGGGATATACCTCTTTAAACAGTCTGGTTGGGATGGGATCTAGCAGAAACGTGGATGGGTTGGATGAAGCTATTATTTTGGACAATTCAGAGAGCTCAACAGGACAAAAATAGTCCAAATGTAATTCAAGTTCTAGTGACATTTTTGAAGTTGTCTCATCTGACACAGAACCAGAGGCAATAGTAAGAAGAATGGTTTGAATTTTCTCCCTAATTGAAATAATTTTATAAAGAATTTCATGAAGCCATCACTGCTTCTAGCTGTAGGGATGCATGGTTCAACAAAGAGTGGACTTTGCCTTAATACTGAACAGAAACCTGGGGTTATTTTTATTCTCATCTATTAAAGAAGAATACACAGTTCTTTCATTACATCATAAAGACAAAACTTGATTCCAAGCAATTTAGAGATGACTGTTTAAAGTACAAGGCAAGTGATGAATACTAAAAGCTCTTAACATCCCCAGGAGTTCTAGTAAATCTATCATCAAAATAGCAAAATGGGGCACGTGTAAATCTACCAAGAGCAGGTCATCCTCAAAAATTGGGTGGCCGTGCTAGAAGAAGAACTCAACTCAATTCAGTTTGTTTATATAGCGCCAAATCACAACAAAGTTGTCTCAGGGCACTTTACAGGGACGTCCACATACATAGAAAAGCCAATTAATAAAGTTATCTAATGAAGCAGCAGACTCGTTGAATTTTCACTTCTTCACTGAAATCCAAGATGGCCGTGCTCAGCCGAGTCGCAGCTTCACAGGCTCCCGGTGAACTTGATCTTCTTTTGTTCCTGTTGTTTTTGTTTTAACCTTTTTGCACCTACAATGCACATCCACAGTACGGGTATGACCGCGACACACTTGTGGAGTTTTTTGTGTTGCTGCCTTGCCATCCTGCCATTGTGGTTCAGTCTTTCCATCCTCTGGCTCCAGCCTGTCATGGCGGCTGTCTCCATGATCCTCCATCTGCCTGCATGGACCAAACTCTATGGACCCGTTCGGTTCCGCAAAGAAACCTGGATGTTCTCCGTCTGCCAGACCCGGTTCTGGAGGGCAGTCTGGGAGTGCAGCTGCTGCGGTCGTTATTATCATCGTTCTGCTGTAGGGACCTGCTAACACTGTTAACCAAACCACGCTGCTAACAGTACCATGGTGCCAACTGGACCCTGTTGCTAAAAGAGAAACCTCATTGCTAACTGAACCTCGCTGCTAACAGTATCATGCTGCTAACTGGACCGTGTTGCTAAGATAACCTCACTGTCATCAGAACCACTCTGCCAATAGGACCATCCTGTTATTTCTTTTTCAATTTTGACGTCTTGTTTCTGTATTTTTGTTGCAGACTTTGAATAAATCACAGTTTATGTTAGATTAGTTTATGTTAATGCTCGCATTAAGCGTGTAAATTATAGCCTAACAAAACCTATGAGAATCGCGCTGCTACTGTTGGGTGTATTGTTTTGCACCATTAGTGACTGGTGTATGTCTTAGATCTTTTAACGTACCGTCTGGCGTTCGTTTAACGTATATCTTAGGTTATATCTTAGATCCTTATTTACTGTTTCTTTTTACACGTTATATTTTGCTATTGTTTGATGTTACTGGGACCCTGTGTACATAATTTCGTTCCACCTCATGTATCATATGTGATGCGAACGACAATACCTGTAAAGAATCTCTGACTCTGACTTCGTCACAGTCTCCCATCCTGAGCAAGCACAATGGAAACAGTAGAAAGGAAAATCTCCCTTTTAAAAGGAAGAAACCTCCAGCAGAACCAGGCTCAGGACAAGCGGCCATCTGCTTTGACCAGCTGAGTTTGAGAGGACAGAAAGGAGAGGCAAACGAACACAGAATGGCAGGTCCAGATGTAGATGCAGAAGAAGAATGGTGAAAGAGATCCCCAAGAAATTTGTAACCACTCTGAAGGAGCTACAAGTTTCAGCAGGTGAGATGGAAGAGACTGTGCATACGACAACTGTTGCCCAAGTTCGTCACCAGTTCAGGCTTAATAAGAGAGTGGCCAAAAAAAGATACTGTTGAAGAAAACATGTTAAATTTCAGCTAGTGCTTGTCAAACGGCATGTGGAAGGCTATACGGTCAAGTGGTCTGATGACATGAATTGGAGCTTTCTGGCCATCAAACAAGACGTTGTGTTTGTTGGAAACCAAATACTCCACCACAAAGTCACCATCCCCACAGTGAAGCATGGTGATGGCAGCATCATGCTGTGGGAATGCTCAGTAGCCAGCCCTCGAAGGCTTATAAAGACTAAATGAATGCCGAAAAGTGCAGAAATGCTTTAAAAACAACAAAGTGAATGTTATGGAGTGGTCGTGTCAAAGCCCACATCTAAATCCAAGAGAATTTGCAGCTTGACTTGGATGAGAGTCTGTGACGGCTAAACTCAAAGCAGTCTGCTCCTCAGATAAATAATGTTATTAACTTACTTTTTATGTATATGAATGTTTCTGTGCAGTGCCGAGATGACTTCTGTTGTGACTTGGCGCTATATAAATAAATTATATTGAACTGTTGAATTGTAAAAGGCCGTTAATGGCCGAACCCAGTGCTGTGATTGCAGCTAAAGGTGCTTGTAAACGATGATGGGAAGGAGGTGAATGCCGACACTTATTTCACACTGCATGTTTTTATTTAGCTTGTAATATTCTGTAGAAATTTGGTTTCATTTTGACATTGAAGAAGGTGTTGGTACATTTTTTTATAACAATTTATATTGACTGTGATTGATTTATGACTGCAATGAAAGCATCAAACATACATGGGGTTGAACCCGTTAAGCACTCGTCACAGGCATTTACATGATTGCCTGGTTTTCAAATTGCACCATGTAACTTGAAATAAATTCTAGTTCCAATTAGACAATTTTTTTTTTCGGTGATCCAAACTTTGTCGTGTTTCTGCTTTAGTACCAAAATTCAAGCAATTATTGTGTCGACTTCAGTGCTGTAAATATTCTCAGTGCATGGTTGTCTTTGTTCTGTTTCTGCAGGACGAGAGAGTTTGAGAGTGAACTGTGAGGACGGACTGCTCAGCATGACGGTCGACCAACAGCTACTGCAGGTCCTCATTCAGTCAATGCATGATAAAAGTTGTGGTACTGTCACACTGTTGTGTATTTTACGAAGTAGACTGATTGGTAAGTGTAAATTGTCCCTAGGTGTGAGTGAGAGAGTGAATGGGTGTTTGTCTCTGTGTCCCTGTGATGGACTGGAGACCTGTCCAGGGTGTCCCCCACCACTTGCACAGTGATGGCTGGATATGGGCACCAGTGACCCTTGTGACCCGAAAAGAAAGAAGGGGGGTAAAAGATAATGGATGAATGGATGAAGATTGAATTTTTTTTTCATGTGGGTCAAAACAAGAAGAAATTAAATCTATTTTGTAAAAAAAAAAAAAAAAAAAGTAAAAATCATCATGTGTTTTTGTGATGTCTATTGCACATGCATTAAGTTGAAGGGTGGGAAACATATAGTCTAGCGTAAGTATGTTTGTCATCAGGGCATAACCGTCTCTTTCTTTTCATTGGAGTGTTTTTTTGCTCTTATGGGTGACGTTGCAGTCGATCTGTGATGTTGAGAGATAACGTATAAAGGGGCGGCCCAAGGGATAGTTTCCCTTTAAAACCTGTGGTGTTCTTCTCTGTTGTTGTCCATGCATTATGCTTTCACACTCTTCATGTTGGGTTTCCCTTTTGACCCTCTTTTCCCCTGTGTGAGTATTTCTTTGAGTTTTTGTCATCCTTTTGTTTTTAATAAATTGCTTTTATTTTTTTTACCCCTGAGCGTTTTGAGCTTTGTCTGTGCCCGGGGTTCACCTCCTCACCAAACATGATACCTGAACTGGAAAAGTTGTGTAGAAGTTGTTGGTACTCTTACAACCCCACATTTATTTCAACACATCATGTGAGCAACAGCAACCATGTGACGTCTTGAACATACATCCATTATCTTTACCTGCTTCTTCCTTTTTTTTGTTGCGGGGGTCACTGGTGTCCATGTCCAGCCATCACTGTGCAAGAGGCAGGGGACACCCTGGACAGGTCTCCAGTCCATCACAGGGACACATAGAGACAAACGAGACAAACAACCATTCACTCTCTCACTCACACCTAGGGACAATTTAGAGTTACCAATCAGTCTAACATGCATGTTTTTGGTCTGCGGGAGGAAACTGGAGTACCCGGAGAAAACCCACGCATGCACGGAGAGAACATGCAAACTCCATCAAGAAAGGCCCCGGCTAGGATTTGAACCAAGGACCTGCTCACTGAGAGCCTGCAGCTCTACCAACTGCATCACCGTGCTGCATACATCGTGAACAGTGTCATGTTTTTGTGGTAAATCTGCCAAGAACAGAAAGAAGAACGTCGGCTATAAGCAGCTCCAATAACACGGAAAAGAAACACGAGCAACGGCAACAAGTTTTAATAATTAAAGCACCACAGGCACAACGCAGTGCTGTGGCAGGGCAGGCAGAGCGTTAGCATAGCTTAGCATTGTTGAATGTTCATTTTGACCACGTTGTTCATGGTTAAAGTTCTTTATTGTCATTCGCACCACACGTGGTACATGTGGTGGAACGAAATTGTGTACACAGGGTCCCAGTTACATCCAACAAAAGCATTAAAATGTAAAAGTTGCGATGAATTTGAGGTATATGTGACGTTTCAAAGATGCTTGTTTGTGCTACATATTCCAGCTTATCAGATAAATAAACTGTGAAGTTGTGAGGTTAGTTCAGAAGATGTCCAGAATCTAAACGTTTTAACATCATTTATAATCAGACGGGTTTTATTCCCAAGAATTCACTCATCTGTGCAGGGTTTTAACTTTTGTTTTGTCATTTTCTGAGCCTTAACAGTTTTGAGGTCTCCTTTAACAGTAAGAAGCCACTTTGTGCAGAAAAACTGAACAAGCCATCACGTTGTACCCAATAAGCTTTAAGCAGAAAACTAATCATGTTTATAATCATCCGTATGGCTAACAGTGTGGAACATTAACTTTGGTATTTCTAAGGGTTAAAAAAAACTTCTTGTTACTTAAAGGCAGTGACTGGTAATGTTACCCTACTTTATGTGTGCGTGTCAAATATAATGAAACTTTTTATTTCATGAACACAGTTTCAACCATCTTCCTCATGAAGCTAAGGTTTTAGCTTTTCAAGTGACTGCTCAGAGTTTTTATTTGTATGTTACTCTGACATGAGTCCTCTCCTTCAGGGTTTGTCTGTGCCAGTTGCTGCCGTGACTCTGCAGGACCACAAGTGCCAGGCTCTGTCTAATGGGAGCCATTTCCTGCTGACGCTTCCCGTCATTTTCTGCGGCACGGAGGCTGAGCTGGTGGAGGAGCCCAGAGGGGTGCTGTACAGAAACAGGGTGAGATAAGAAACGCTCACAGGAAGGACCGAAGGCAACAGAAACCTGCCTTTTCATCTGGTTCTTCATTAAATCCTCCAAATTTTTGTCCTTATTCTGACTTCATTATATTTTAATTCAGGAATTCTGTGTTCAGACAAATTAAACTGAAAAGCACTTGTCAGATTTTTGGAGATGTGGTTTATCAAACAAAACCAAGATACAAAATTAACTTTTACATGTGGGGAAAATGTCTTGTTTTATCATATTATTGACATATTTAGACAATATAACAAAAACTCGCATTTTTAAATAGATTTTTTCCCCCAGTTCTAATCATTGCTTCAATTGTTACTCTAATATTCCTTCACATACAAGTATTTCCATCCTAAGTAATCCAGACTTGTAGCTGAAGTAAAGAAGGAAATTTAAAGGGATAATTTAGATCTTTTTATGTAATCAGTATCTTACCTGCAGCATAAATAGTTTAAAGTGCTATAGGTTTATCAGGCAGAAGTTTTTTTTTTTTTTTTTAGAAGATGAGAGCTGGTTGAGTGAGGCTGAGACCAAAGCCATTCTAACACAACTCTAATTTTTTTTTTTTTAATTAATAGTGTTTTGTGCAAATTCATAAACCTTCTGTCAGTTTTGCATTCATTAAATATTTACATTAATGGTTATTACTAAAGGCTGAGCAGACTGTGTGTGCACAACAGCACATGTCCAGTGTAAAATATAGTAACTGCAGCCTCCTTCATGAAACAGTTTTGTGATTTGATTCTTTAATGTGCCTCGTTCAAAAATCCGTCGAGCCGGCCACGTCCCGCAGAGATGCAAGTTTCATTAATGAAGCCAACATGGCTGAACCAAAGGAAGTGTGTGTGGTGCGACTCGGTGCTGTTTGAGCGACATGCATTAGATGTACGTGTCATTCTGAGACTCCATCCACATGGAAACACAGTTTTTCCAAAACAATCTTTTAATTTATGGTTGCAGCCTGACATTTTGAGCTCCATCGCCATCAGTTTCAACAGTGAAGTAATTTTCTTTGCACTTTCATCAACACATGCAAAATACAAAACAATTAAAAAAGCATAATCTTATAAAAGACAAAAATGTTGTCTTTCTTACAAAGAGTCTGAACTGGTTGATTTAGTACTTTTGTTTTAGCACAAGTGCGTTTTTCTCCTGTTACTGACAAACTGTCTAACTTGGTGCAGCACAGAGCTTTGATCAGTCCTAGTCGGGATGTAAAGCACACTGTCAGCAACATGCACGAGACAAATGATTAAACACGTATTATGTTGTCTTGATGACATTAACTTTGTAAGTTTCAACGATCAGAAAACTGAAGTCATTGTTTTTAACACTAGCTCTACTGCTGGTTCTGTTCCTGTAAACCTTTAACTCTCTTGAGCCATATCTTAAGCAGTCTGTTACAAATCTTGGGATGGTTTTAAAATCTGACTTTAAGTTTAATAAACAGATTAACTCTTTTCTGCAGAAAAGCTTCTTCCAGCTAAGCTTAAATCCATGTGGACCAGATCTGACCTTGAAAAAATAGTCCATGACCTCATTACAACTCGACTTAACTCACTTTATGTCGGGGTCAGTCAGGTCTCTCTTCCACATCTCCAGCTTGTCCGAAATGCTGCAGCTCGGCTCTTAACAGGAACTCGTAGGTTTGAGCACATTTCACTGGTTCTGTCCTCCCATCACTGGCTCCCTGTGCGTGTCAGAATAGATTTTAAAATTCTCCTGTTGACCTTTCAGTGCATTAATGACCTTGCACCCTCATATCGCTGACCTACGTCAACCTTATGTTCCTTCTCAAGTGCTGAGATCATCTGATCATCTTTTGGTTGTACCAAAAACCAGGTAGAAGCTCAGAGGAGATCGAGCTTTTTCAGTCACGGACCCTAAACTCTGGAACAATCTACCCCTCAACATTAGACAGGCCGCTTCACTTCCTGTTTTTAAATCTCTTTTAAAAACACTTCACTGACTTTTAGTGTGATTTGATTTAATATTTTATTGTTCTGTGTTTTCATGTTTTTCTTTTGATGCTTTAATTAAGTTTTGTTTTTTTTTTCATTAAATTACTGCCATTGATTTTTATTGTTCCGCACTTCGGTGACAGCTGCTGTTTTTAAATGGGCTTTATAAATAAATTTGACTTGACTTATTAAAGTGTAGAGAACTCGAACGTCTTCATCTTCAGATTGGAGCCGATTAAAACTGAGGCCACAGCTGATCGAATATGAGTTGACTAAAAATTAATTTCTGTAACCAACATTAACGGAGGCTGGGAGGGGGGGGTGACTTTCCCTTATTTTCACTGCATTCTCAGTAGATATGAGTCATGTGGAGCTGTCCTTCATGTAAACGAGATGAGCAGTTTGAACCCACCTGTGTCATGCTGCACTTTGTATTCTTTCTGGCTCAAACATCTTAAAAGACGAGCAGCTCCTGTATCTGTAATTTACAATAAGTACACCAAGTTGTGCACCGTGAAGAGGTTAAACAGCTGCATGTGGTTGTTGTCCTCGTGCGACCCGTGTCGTCTTGACATCTTGTCTGGATGAGTTTAAACCTAAAAATACGCTTCTGCTCTGAGCAAACGAAGAGAAAATCTTTAGAATCTTTCGATGAGAAGAAAATTGGAGAAAATCATTTTAAATGGGGATAAAAAAAAGAGAATGAGGGTAATATTTTATAATGTTCTCTGTAATGAGGAAAGCTCTTTTGTCTCTCTCCTTGAAAGCCTTAAATGACGTTACTGTAAAATACATGACAGCTGTGTCCCCTGGCAACTCACTCCATGTCACAGCTGGTAATAAATGGAGTCCGGGCCTTTTTCATTCATTCTCTATTTGATGAGTCATCATTGTCAACCTCCAGCTTCAACATAAATAAGCACAGACTTCTCTGCAAATAACAGTTTAATATAAAAATGACAGCAACATAAAGGCTTATAAAATGGTGTTTTCATGAACTACCATGATTTTTTTCATGTGTTGTTTGAAGATGACAGAAATCCTCTTTGGTCTTAGCTGCGTTCAGACTAGACTACAGGAGTTACGTTCTCATCTGAGAGAACTTCAGTCTGATAGTCCAAACTAATACAGCTCTGAGTGATTTCTACTGCAGGTAAGATGCTTATTACTGATAGAGATTCAGAACCATCAAAATGTCTGAACTGGACTTTGCAGCGCAACTTTTAAAGTGTCTGTGACGTGCATATCCTCTAATCAATCATATCATAAAACCATGTGTATTAAGCCAAATTAAAATTGTTTTCTTAAACTTTTTGTATAATTTTAACCTTTTTGTCACATAAGTGGCAGATTTTCTTTTGACTTTGGTTTGACCAAAGTGAAACAAGAAGTGACATCAAAGGGGAACTCTCTGATCTTTGTTTATTGAAATAATTTTTATTAAATATTATATTTATATTATATGTATTAAATATTTTCTGAGCTCTGACTCTTCTTTGTCTCTCTGATGGTGACTCAAATTAATCTAAAGAAACATCAGATTTTCCTCTACTGTCTGTGTTAGCCACATATCTCTGACATCACTTCCTGTTACTGTGCATGATAATATCTCAATAACTATTCATATCAGTTTTTTTT